CACACACACACACACACACACACACACACACACACACACACACACACACACACACACACACACACACACACACGCACACGCACACGCGCACGCACACGCGCACGCACACACGCACACGCACACACGCACATGCACACACGCACACGCGCACACGCGCACACGCGCACACGCACACACGCACACACGCACACACGCACACACGCACACACGCACACACGCACACACGCACACACGCACACACGCACACACGCACACACACACACACACACACACACACACACACACACACACACACACACACACACACGATTCAGTGAGAGTAATGGGAACAACCGTATAATTTCTACTGTAGTCTGTTATTGGTGCTATTTTATTTTTTGTCATTCTATCCAACAGAAGCAGAGAAGAAACTGCGACAGCTAGAGGCAGACCGGTTAAAGCTTGACCACGAGCTGCGTAGTGCCAGAGAAAAAATCGTCATGTCAGAGAGAGGAAAAGAACTGTTGGAAGCAAGAATGAAGGTGATGTGATGACAATTGTTGTAGAAATTACTGAACAACTTTTGAAAACTGAGGCTGTTTCGGTGATGATATTAAAGACTGTGAAAATGCTTTTCTGCGTGATTGTTAGATAACTATGATAAGTTCTTGTGTTTCCTTTCTTATTTGTAGCTGTTTTTGATAAATGTTTCCTATCTATTTTTTTAATCTAAAAAGTCTTTTAACCATTCCAGCATACTTTTTATACTCGTTACTTCTCTTGTTTTACCTTTCATCTGCTTTAATTAAATTTCTTGATTATCTATTCTGTGACTGCTTTTCATTTTATTCTCTTTAAAATGAAATCCTTCTTGACATGATAAATGACATTTTAAAATAAGTATTCCATTTGAAAACAACTTTTTTCGATTAGCAATTATTCCATTAGGCTACACATGTTATAACTTCGCATAAGGAAATATGAATTATTTTTAGACGGGAGGTTTCTGACTTGAAAGCAAAAGCAAGCAAAAACAAATATCCTTGTATGCTAAACAAGAAAAAAATGCAAAAAATATATATATATATATTGCACAGAAATTCCATGAAATAGTTCTTAGGTGGTGCTTTCATGCTTTGATTGGTCCTCAAAACTGTTATTCATATGTGGTATACATTTCTTCTAGGTAAAAGAGAGAACACCACCTGTTCGTACTTACTCTCTACGGCCTATAAGAAAAGAGCGAGGACCAGTGCCTACGAGATCATCCTCTTTCAATGCTCATGCTGCGCGGCTTTTCAAGTTCCGTTCTAAGAATGAGGATAGCAATAATGGTAATGGAAATGGCAATAGTAATGGAACTATTGAAAGTAGCTAAGTGTATGTATTTATTATAGTTTTAGATTAAAAGATAATTATATAATATATTGGATACCAATTTATACTGGAAAAATATTTGCTGTTGAAAATAAATTGTGCTGACAGTGTGTGTATATACATATATATATATATATATATATATATATATATATATATATATATATATATATATATATATATATATATATATATATATATAACACACACACACACACACACACACACACACACACACACACACACACACACACACACACACACACACACACACACACACACACACACACACACACACACACACACACACACACACACACATTCCAAAGCTTTTTGCCGTTTCCTTATATTAGTTATCCATTTCTCAGAAATAAGGATAATGACTAACCATCATCATCAAAATTTTTAAGCATCTAACTGAAAGTTAGAAGGTAGACTCCATGAAAAGCACAATTTGTATCTACTGCACTGTGTTCATTCCTCTTTTTTTTGCGAGCGACACAGAAATCAATTAGAGCTTTGGCATTTGCAATGCTCCATGTGTTCCCTGTTCATCAGGTAATGCACATAAAATATTCCACATATGCAGAGGTATTATGGAAATTCACGGTCTCCATCAGTTAGGTGCGAACAAGAGAGGTTACCTTGCAAGACTGGTAGAGCTGAACTTGCACATCTTGGTACTGACTTTCCCTACAGAATGCATGTGATTTTGATCAGAGAAAATGTCTATAAGGAAGTGATATTGTTTTACACCTGTTTATTGTACTGTGGCTCGTCTTTTTGGTTGTTATATCTCTGTGTAAATGTGCAATCTAATTGTTTAAGCTCTTTTGGTGTGCAATATGCAAATGTAAGTAATGCACCAGATGTCACTGTAAGTTACATACATTGTGAATGTTTGACATCCAAATTATATTTAGGTTAAGATGGTTTGTAGAAGCTTTTCCCATAACACTTTTCATGGTTTGTATAAGCTTTTGCAAATGTTACCGGTGCTTCACTTGGTTTTAAGTATTTTTATTTTGTACCTGGTTTATCCATGAATTCATGTCTTGATGTGAAGTTTAATTACCAATATTCACATGTCTTGGAGGTTGATGAGTTGGTTATATCTCTGGAAATGCCCAACAGATTTGTTACTTTTTCCTGTATGATATTTTATGTTTTACACTTCCATGACCATATGCATTTCTAGATTTGTAATGATAGTATAATAGAAAATACATACATTCCAATGTGCTTGATGTGCCTTAATTTGTTTTAGAAAAGAAATGTGAAAAGGACGAATTTCACTTTGCACACTTGAATATATGTAATCACCTTTCTGTAGTTACAAAAATCAACCATAAAATAACTTGTTTTTGTAAAACATTTATTTTAAAAATTAGATAGATCATGTCCTTCCCTCATTCGATTTCATTGTTTTTTTCACAATCTTTGATAACTCCACAATGAAACTTGACACTGAAATGCAAATGCTGTTGATTAATCACTTAGTTTCATGACAATTTTTCATAGATGCTCTAGTATGATATGATATAGAACTGCTCAAAGTCCAACTACCAATGGATGACATATGTGCACTTTTTTTATTAATATTAGTTTAGTCTTTGTATACATTGAAGAGGTTACAATATCTGCATCTGAATAGATCATCAGCTTGTTTCTAAAGGTTATAAATGCAACGTATTAAACGATAATACCAATGTGTGATCAACTGGTTAGTCCAATGACAATTAAATAATCAAATCTTAAAAATGTAAAAATATTATATAGATATGAAACTCTTTTATGAATACTATTTGTATGGCAAATAAATTCATGATAAACTGAAGAGTTGCTTCACTTACTTACATTCCTTAGAATACATTTCAGTTGGGACATTTTAGATATGAAACTCTTTTATGAATACTATTTGTATGGCAAATAAATTCATGATAAACTGAAGAGTTGCTTCACTTACTTACATTCCTTAGAATACATTTCAGTTGGGACATTTGTTCCTTTAATTAACACTAATTAAAATAACAATATAATCACTGTATTTTCCCTACGTTTTGTCATAGGATTGCCTCAAAGAAAGAGTAAAGATGTCGTCTTTAAACAAAATGTCTAGATTTAGAATGAGCTTGAATAACTGGGTATTAGTGGTATCTTTTCAGGATAAGTAAATTCTGCTTAGTGCATTGATAAGTTCAAAAATAAGCTTCACTCAAGCCATATAATGGCCTTAAATGTCTGTCCAGGCTTAGAACTTGGTCAACAGTACATGTTCCTTACATTTCTGTGGCTAGGCATTAATGTCTAAAAACTATTAAAGGTTTAGAAACTAATAAAAAATAATAATATATGATGAGTAAAAAAACTATTAACTATCATAGCTATTAAAAAAGTATAATGATACTAATCAAAACATTGCAATAATAATAATACTAATGGTACTAATACTGACAATGACAAATGAGGGTATGTGCCCAAAATTGTTCTCAAACCAATTGCCCAAAAATGCATTTTTTAAATGGTTTATTTTAACTTTCCCTTTATCATCAATATGTTCACATCAATAAACTACAGTCACAGAGTGAAATAATGTGAACCTATTGATGTTTATGTTATAAATGACAGATTAAATTAACAAAACATTTAATACAAGTATTTTTGGGCAGTTGGTTTCAAACCATCTTTGGATGTGCATGCTTTCAAATATAAATGATGAAAGAAACAACCTTGTTAACAATAAATATTTTACTAATATTACATAAAAAAAAAGAAAACAAATTCTTCTTGCAGGCATCTACTATGCAACTTCTACCAACAATAGTATTAAATTGAGAAATTATAATAAAAAGAGAAAAAAGTTGTTACCCCATTGCCACTGGAGAAAATGAATAGAAAATGGGGAAAATGATGTGTTCACTTTTTATATCTTTTGTAAAATGTCTCTACACATAGATGGCTCTGCTTTACTTGATTTCACCTTTCCTTGAATTGGCGGGAAAATGTATTTTTTTCTAGTGCTATAAATATCGATGGGGTTATCTTTATTATAAACATTATAATTACTATAATGTTATAAACATTAGTAATAGCAAAATAAGATAACGTAAAATATTTTTGTAAATTAACCCATTGCCGCCAGGGAAAATGAACAAAAATTGGGGAAAATGCTGTGCCTATTTTCTATATATATATATTTTTTAAATGTTTGCCCATAGATGGCTCTGATTTGAAATGGCAGGAAAAATGTATTTTTCACTTGTGCCATGAATATCGATGGTGTTATTTTTATTATAAACATTATAATTATTATAACTTTTTTTAACATTAGTAACAGCAAAATAAGATAACGTAAAATATTTCTTAAATCAAAGAAAAGGGTGAACGGGCAAGACAGGTGGTACTCGTAACTGGCTCATTGGTGATTTAATACAAGTGTAGCCATCTATGTACAAAAACAATTAAACAAGTAAACTCACAATGGGCATGGCATGGATACATGACATGCCCATCGCTAATGGGTTAATTCCTAATGAAAAGATGACAACTATCATAACTAAATCTCCCACCTAACTTTACCAAAAAATAAATATATTTTAACATTTCTGCCATTGCCAAAAAGGAATAGTAAAGGAATAAATATC